TTAATTTTTCTTTAATGTAAAGAACAGGAAGGAGCGGGCGGAGTTGAACCACTGACCCCAGTGACCTGTCAACCTGCAGTCGGATAATCTACCACTATATGCTACTCTCTCTGAGCGTTCCATGCAGCATACCTGTCATATGCTATATTCTTAGATACCTGTAAGAGAAAGCCTGAAATAAAAAAATACATAAAGACGGAGAATGAATGTTTTCAAAGAGTTTCTACCAAGAATTGAACCCCGATTCTCGAAGTCAGAGTCCGAAGTGATAACCATTACACCACAGACCCTAAAAATCTATTAAACTTACTGACGAATGTTGGCTGCATAGTATATAATCAGGTAGTTTGCTACGCGCATGCACATTATTAAGATAAAGTATTCATATAATTATATTCGTGTTAAGCTTGCACTTACGCCTCATTAGCTCAGTGGTTAGAGCACTGGTCTTGTAAACCAGGGGTCCAGAGTTCAACTCTCTGATGAGGCTTTAGCATACTTTTGTATTTACAAAAGTATACAGGAAACTATAGTAACTATATAATTTATCCTACTCAGAGCCCGAAGTTCTAACCATTACACCACAGGAACTAAACACCTAGAAAAATTACTGAGAAATTCCTGGCTCTACAGTATATCTATGCACGCCCATTATTAAGATAAAGTAATTATATTCCCTGTATTCCAGGTATGGAGTCCCGTTTTACAAATTTATAGAACATGCATGTGTCCCAGAGAGTCATTGAAAAAACACTAATTTGCAAGGATTATTTATGAATCAAACGGATTGTTGCATCGAAAATAAATTGGGGTTTTTTAATTCACTGATTAGTACGACAAAAATGTTGGGTTTTTCTTTCATTCATAAAAGAGAAGGGAGCGAGCGGAGTTGAACCACTGACCTCTCGATCTGCAGTCGAATGCTCTACCACTGAACTACCCTCCCTGATCGTGCATACCTGTTTGATGCTATTTTCCTAAAAGAACGTTTTTTTTCTGTTCTTACCTTATTCGAAATAGCACAAGTTTTATATTCATTTCATAGAAGCAGTGTGTAGCAAGCAGGGTGGCGCAGTGGAAGCGTGCTTGGCCCATAACCCAGAGGTCAATGTAGCATCCTCCATATTTTTTCCATATATAATCAATTAAAAACACATTAGATTCTCGAAAACGCAACTCAACTTTATTCGTTCAAAATATCAATTTCCTTTTTAACAAACTCGATGAAACGCGAGTCTTCCTATCCTTGTCAGTGTTCGTGTCCTGCAATAATACTCATTAAGGTGTTAAATGTATTGCCGTAAACGGCTCTTTTTGCCGGGTAATTATGAAAACGGATTTCCCACGCCGGGAATCGAACCCGGGCCATGGCGGTGAAAACGCCAGATCCTAGCCACTAGACCACATGGGAACTTGCTATGCCTTAAGTAACAGTGTCGTTTTTTTTCAAAATTGCCCCTTACTTCTTAGGTCCCATGCTACACGAATCAAGCTCAGAAATTATATTTTTAATTTCGTAAAGAGTGATCTATCTTTTACCGATTGCTAGAAAACATGTACGGAAAGGCAGCAACTGGGGGATTAGCTTCAAAGGTAGAGCGGCGCGCATAGCATTGGCGAGGTAGCGGATCAACGCCCGCATCCTCGAAAATTTTACGCTTTGGATCTCAAATCATTCTTCAGAAACCGTTGCTTTGCATTAAAGTTTTTCGTAATATTTTTAAAAATAATATTTATACCTAAGTTTTCAATAATATTATCAAAATTCTAATTAACGGAATTATTAATTGTATGACAAATACTCATTGATCAATAATGAAGCTGACCGTTGTCAGCCTTCGATAGATCAGTTAGTAGATTGGGGGACTGTAGATAAGCAAACATCCCTAAATCACTGGTTCAAATCCGCTTCGAAAGACAGTTGCATGGAAAATATTTTGATAAATATTTTACTTGCCTATGTCAAATTGATATACTGGCAATAGAGTAGAGATTTATTAAATGCATCCATATTTACCATAACCTGACATTTTAAAATTGCCCAGTATGCTCCGTTGTTGTGTCCAGCTAGGAAACTAGGTGGATGATCGAAAACGCCTGAAGAATATGAATAGTCCTTCTGAGTTGTATGCCTAAATAGCTCAGGTAGGAGAGCGTCAGACTGAAGATCTGAAGGTCCTTGGTTCAATCCCAGGTTTCGGCAGGAACTAATTTGAAATATTTTGCTTGTTAGCTTGGTATGTCTACAAAATATTGAAAATAACGCTTTCATTTTGCGGTTTTAACAAATAGTTTGTTTCAGAAATCCAATGTAAAAAAAAAGATGTGTGTCATTGTAAAAATGGATTTCAATGCGTTAGGGCGGCTGTGAGGGATTAGATCAAATAAGAGAGCGCGCGCTTTGCATGCGCGAGGTAGCGGGATCGATGTCCGCATCCTCCCTATTTTTTCCATATGTAATCAATTAAAAACACATTAAATTCTCGAAAACGCAACTCAACTTTATTCGTTCAAAATTATCAATTTCCTTTTTAACAAATTCGATGAACTGCGATTCTTCATATTCTTGTCAGTGTTCGTGTCCTGCAATAATATTCATTCAGGTGTTAAATGTATTGCCGTAAACGGCTCTTTTGCCGGATAATTATGAAAACGGATTTCCCACGCCGGGAATCGAACCCGGGCAATGGCGGTGAAAACGCCAGATCCTAGCCACTAGACCACTTGGGAACTTGCTATGCCTTGTTTAACAGTGTCGTTTTTTTAAAAATTACCCTTTTATTCTGATAATTTTGGTACCCCAAAAAAGTGTGAAAAAGAAACCAAATGATGGGTGTTATTGATCAGGACAATGCATCCGAGGGGAATTTTATGCGCTAGCGGAGAATCGAACCCCGGTCTTCCGCGTGGCAAGCGAGAATTCTACCACTGAACCACCAGCGCAACGCCACGTAATGTCGTCAATTTCGGCAATCATGTTACTCCGCTGTAAGAAACATATTTTCAAATTACACCCATAAATTAGGTCCCATGCTACACGAATCAAACTCAGAAATTATATTTTTAATTTCGTAAAGAGTGATCTATCGTTTACCGATTGCTCGAAAAGATGTAAGGAAAGGCAGCAACTGGGGGATTAGATCTTTGGATCTCAAATCATTCTTCAGAAAACCGTTGCTTCGCATTAAAAGTTTTTCGTAATATTTTTTAAAATAATATTTATATTTTTACCCTAAGTGCTACACACTGCCCTGGTGCTATGAATATATACGCAGATAGATATTTTCTTTTCATTATCGCTATTCCGAATAAGGTAAGAACGGGGGAAATCTTATCAGAGAGTTGAACACCGGACCTCTGGTTTACGAGACCAGTGCTCTAACCATTCAGACAATAAGGCATACACATGACGCTTTTACAATTGTAAAAACGAATCATCGCCAAAAAATAGTTATCCCTTCCAAGTTAATTCTGCTTATTTTCCGATGTTCAGTTCTTGTAAAATGAATGACAACGTCTTCATGGATGACATTTCTTTACTATGAATACATTTGTGCATGCATAGTATATCTCCTCGTTGTATTTTTCTATGTGGGATTGCCACTGCATGGGATCAACGTTTTATGGGGAGATCAACACTGCTTTTTGTTTTGAAGAAGGAAACTCAATCTTTGAAAAATTTCAAGTTGGGAGGGCAATCAGGGCTTGCACGGGAATCGAATCCGTGTCCTGCACCCACGGCGAAAAAAGTGCAGTAGCTTACGGTAATTTATCAAAAATTCCGGCATAACGGTAAATGAAAAATTAAAGTTCCGTTGACTCGTGCGGCAAACAGCCTAATATTATACTGTTAAAAGCGAGCATATACAGGAGAAATAATTTCTGGATATAGTTCCTTATAAGAAGAGGCAATTTCGCTCTAGACCAAACAGCATGTTTGTTTACATTTTTAGTAACCGAATCAGAATGCGTAAATTTGACTACTTCGGTTAAAAGGGTACAGTATTTACCATTTTACACCAAGTTTTAAAAATTTTGACTACTCTGATTGTCTTTCCCTAAAAAATGCCAAAAATATATCGTATAGTATAAGACGAAATTCCACCCGCTGGCAAAAAAGTTTTCCGTGTTATGAAAATTTTCGAGATAACAAGACTCGTAGTCGGCAGGATTTGAACCTGCGCGGGAATATTCAACTGATTTCGAGCCTGTCGCCTTAACCACTCAGCCACGACTACATAATTGCCAGTTAATTGGCAATGATAAAAAAAAAACACAATAAAACAGAAGCAAGTATTATAGGAATTGATTTCTGAAAGAGCGAATCATAAATATTGCAGTTCACTATTGTTACAAAAAGTCAATCACAAAAGTCGTTCATATTATTGAGTTTAAGTGGAAAATGTGAAGAGCTCGTCAGAGATTCGAACTCCGGACCCTTGGTTTACGAGACCAGGGGCCGGTTGTATCAAGCTCGTTTAGCTTAAACGTTGGTTAGGTTCAAAATAGAAAGCAAGTCAATCGTTTCATTCAACAAGCAAACTAAATGTATACTGTTTACAACCAAATATTAGGTGCATAATATTCAAGTTGACTCATTCAAGAGAGATGTAGGAGTGTTTAATTAAGAGATTTAATTTTGACTTATCCACCGTTAAAGCTAAACGGGCTTGATACAACCGGCCCCAGAGCTCTAAACTGAGCTAATGAGGCACGTGTAAAAAACAAGTGTGGACACTGTTCATATGATTACATTGATCACACAGGTATGCACGATCTGGACAGCTTTCAAAAGCAAAAACAGCAGAAGAAAAGGTACTTCGGATAATCTATTAACAAAAAATTGAAATATTTGGTTATCTGTTGGCAAGAATTCGCCTGGCAAGTAAAACAATTATATTCGTCACAATTGATGACATTGCCCGCGCACTTCCGTGATTACCGCGTCCCAAAAGCGAACTATTTCGTTTATACAGCACTGACAAGCACCGAAGTTTCCAAGCTTTGGTTCTTTTTCATTTATACGAAAAAATCTTTCGCCTTTTACTAAAGATTTCCGTGGAGGAGAACAATTATATAACAAAAAATATTCACTCACTAGCAAATCCTCTAGGTTCCTGAGTGCGATTTATATACAAGTCCAATTTGAATGATTCGACTATATAAACCATAGTAATATTGGTAAACATGCTCTACAATCTGGTCAAATACACCACTTTCTTTTTGGACGATACAAAGTTCGGAGTTGGAAATGTCTTTGGTTGTGATATAGCTACCGATATAACTCATAAATATCTTCGTATTTTTTACCGCCACGGTTCCCACAGCGTTTGAAATTTCATGATTCTTCAGTGTGTTAAGCATCCGGCCATATACATTTGAAGCATAATTATAATTGCATAATTATACCATCGAGCCATTTTATGAAATTTTCACCAATTCCTTGGATCAAGAAGTGGACGCTGCCCACGAACGCGGCCGCAAAATGTCCCAAATTTCTGGTAATGGGTTAAAATTGATAAAAAAATTAACCCTGCTAGCTAGGTGGTTTAAAATTTTAATCCTAGGTTAAGTGCAAAATAACATGGCGGATGTTTTACAGTTTGTTGTACCAATACGGAATTTTCCTCGCAGACAAAGGCGATATCGTCACGATAACGTGAACATTCGAGGTTTAACTGATGCGGAATTGCGAATTAGATACAGATTTGGTTACCAAGCAATAAATTACATTACAAATTTGCTATACGATGACCTTATTCGTGACACTAAAAGAAATTTTTCACTAATTCCCGACGTCCAAGTTCTCATCGCACTACGGTTTTTCGCAAGCGGAAGCTTCCTACAGGTTATCGGAGACACATTTGGCGTTGACAAGTCCACCGTATCGCGAGTAGTTCGTGACGTATGCCTTGCTCTATCAAACAAACGAGAACAGTTCATTCGTTGTCCTTCAAATCAAGAAAAAGAGAAAATAAAGAACGGGTCTTACGACATGGCCAATTTTCCTGGCGTTATTGGTTGTATCGATTGTACGCATATTCGAATCCAGGCACCACATCTAAACGAGAATTATTACGTAAATCGGAAACGCTATCATTCTTTTAATGTTCAAGCAATTTGCGACGATCGAGGTAAATTATTATACTCTATATGTACCAATTATAGTTACAATTACTATAGTAAAGTAGGGATACTGTTAATACTGGTGGAATGCATGGAATACAGTCGAAAAGCAAACATTCTTCACATTTCATTTAGGAAAGTTCATAAATCTGGTTGCCCGATGGCCTGGAAGTGTCCATGACAGCCATATATTTCGAATGTCACAGATACAACAGTTTATAGAGCAGCATCACACATCACTGGAAGATGGGATCATATTGGGAGATAGTGGTTACGCCTTAAAACCCTACCTTATGACACCTTACACAGACCCTACTACAGCAAAGAAAAGAGCATTTAATCGGTCTTTGAAGAAAACACGCGTATTGATTGAGCAAGTGTTTGGGCGATGGAAGAGAAGGTTCCACCTACTGCATTCAGAGATCAGAATGGAACCAGAGAAAGTCTGCTTGTTAATTGGTGCTTGTGCTGTCCTTCAGAATATTGCAATAATGTTTAATGAGCCATATGAAGAAGAGGATGTTGATCTAGAAGAACCAGATCCAGAGGTTGAACCACAGGTTGGCCATGACACAGGAAGGCAAATCAGGGCACATATCACAAATAACTTTTTTTAATTGAAATATGTACCATGCATGCATATATGCCACACAACAATTTACAATACATTTTTCCTGAAATTATTTCAATATTAGAATTGGGAAATACAAGATAATTAAGCACATTCTATAGTAACTTATATTATACACAACAGCACTAGCTGGGGCCCCAAAAGAGGTATGTCTGAAAGATCTTGCAATATTTATTATACATATTTGATTTATTGGCTGCAGCAAACCTTTCAACATTAAATGATTGACCTAGAACCTATAATAAAACTGGTCCCACTGTAACACAAATGCTGTAATAATGAAATACAAGTAATATTCTCAATAATGTAATTAATTTACTGTGTACACTTATAGTACACAATGATTTCAAGCAATGTCCATGTCACCCCGATATAAATATTATAAATCCCTCAATCAAAAATTGCCATTGCTACTGCCATTTGCCCTTTCTTTCAACTCCGCTACCTGTAGTTTCAGTCTCTCATTTTTCAGCAGAATCATTTCCTTTTGCACCTTAAGGACTTCGTATTGCATCTCAAGGACAACTTGCTGGTTAACCTTTTTTTTCAGCTTTGACTTATTTTGAGTTGTTTGGGTGCCAACTGGTAGGGGTGTAGGTTTGGTATGCTGCTCCACATCAATTGGACCATAAACTGGTGTGAAAGAAGGTGGTGGTGTATTTAAATCGTCATCACTGTTATCAAGTTCACAGCTATCAGCTTCCCTTTGCACTTGTACAAAACCGTTACTGTTGGTGTAAACTTCATCGCGCAACAACGTTGCCGATTCCCCTAAACAAAAATTAAAAAATTATCGTATTAATATTGATTTCATTGTGCATGGAAGAAGTAAATAATAAAATTGCGTATATCAAAATGTATAATCGACTGACGACTGGTATCATGACATGCAAAATAATCTGCGACCTTGTGAGTTGTGAATTACTTTACTAAATTATGAAACATAAATACTTATCTTTTTCTGATATTACGGGTAACTACGAAAAATATCACGTCTTTGTAAATAATAAAGTTCGCCAATACTGACGAAAAGCCTTCTTTTACAGAAAACGGTTTCTTGTTGTTGTGTGCATGAATTGAGAGGCATTGGAAGCCTGGATACGGCAGCAAAACCTGCCTAAACTCGCCCATGAAATTTAAACTTACCGCTCGTTTCAAAGCCACTTAGTCCGGTAAAAGACGGGGCGTTTTCAAATAACCGAATGATCTTCTCCGTGGCTTCTTTGGGTTTCTTAACTGGTGGACCACCTCCTGTTTGTCCAAAGCTTCTCTTTTGCCGCGCGAACTCCTTCTTTGCCGTGGTTTGTAGGTTTTTCCACTTGTCCTTTATGTCTTGCACGGAGCGGTGAGCTATCCCGAGTGCGCTCACTTGCCCGGCAATTTTTGCCCATATTTCCTGCTTCCTTTTATTTGTTATAGCATTTGTAAGCTTTGACTGGATAATTTCTAGATTTTCTTCCACTAATTCCGTTATTATATTAATTTCCGATGTGGAAAAATTTAATTTTCTCTTTCTTTCATTTTGGCCTAAATTTTTTTCCGCCATTTTGATTTTCGCGCGCTTCTAAACCGTGGGTTAAATTTTTTAACCCAGGGATAACTAATCAACCCGCTAATCCACCTTCCAGCAACGCAGAATAAACCCAGGATTAACTAACCTAGGGTTAAGGAATTTAACCCAGGTTTAGCACTAATCCTGGGTTAGCGTTAACCGGCTTTTGAACAACCGGCCCCAGATGTGATTTATTCCTACTTACCATGCATTGGCGGGTAGTTTATTCGGAAGCAAAATTCTTCAATTAAGTCCTAAAGGGAGTTAATTTTCAATGGTTTTAGTCCCAACTCTCAGAGGTGAGAATATGCGATTTTGACTAACACTTATTATCAGCCTCCTATTTGCTCATTTTTTCATCATTTGGTATTAAAAACATGTCATTCGATAGTTAACTAAAAGCCTAACCTTTCCGAATGTGAAAAAAAATTCATTTGCTGGAATGAGTAGTTCACGTACAATAGCGCGCCAAAGTTGGATTACCTTTTTTTTATACACCCTGTAAAGCATAATTTGATGCGTGCACATTATAAGATTAAGCAACAATATTCGCGTTAGCTTGTACGTGCGCTTCATTAGCTCAGTGGTTAGAGCACTGCATGGTCTTGTAAACCAGGGGCCGGTTGTTCGAAAGATGAATAACTTATCCAACGGATACGTCCTATCCAACGGATAAATCTGCTATCCAGTGGATAATTATCCATTGGATAAAAACGCGTTGCACGAAGCGTGGATAGTGAAGTGGATAGCTATCCAATAGATAAGGTAAAATTTACCGGAAGAAAACAGGATTATCCTGAAATTTCGTACCACAACGTCAGCTGTTGCTAAGCATTTAAAACATTGAATTCATAATCATTGCGAATTCTCGAGTATAGTTACTGAATGGAAAAGACTTGAACAAGTGATTTGCTCGAACTTTGCACTTCACATCATAGTGATTTTATTAATCAAACACATTGCAATTTTATTCCTTGACCTTGCAACGCTTTGCCTTTCGGTTCCATAGCAAATTTAGGAACACTATTTTAATGTTCGTGAATGAAATTACGTAGATATTAGCAAGTTTCCTTGGAATAGGTTGAATCTTTCTTTGCATATTCGCGTTTATAAACTGATTAGAAGCGTATAGTAAATTTACCGCCTGTTATAAATGCGAGGATCTCCAAAAAATCGCCGCTCGGAACGAAATGTGTAGGCAACGTGAAACGCTGCTGCGACAAATTGCACTTCGAAAACATTTTTAATAGTGAATACAATTATGATGTGTATTAGTTTGTTGAAACACAGTAACAGGAATATGGCATTTTTGTCCTATTTTATATAAATGTTTACAGTGTTACCTTGTATCTTTGAATTTATCCACTGGATAGTGGATTTAAACCACCTCCGGACCTTGGATAAATTTATCCGGTAGATAGCGATTTTTATCCGCTGGATAAAGTTATCCAAGCTTCGTGCAACGCAAATCACACGCTGGATAAACTTATTCGTTGGATAGCGACTTATCCACCTTTCGAACAACCGGCCCCAGGGGTCCAGAGTTCAACTCTCTGATGAGGCTCTTGTTGTCATACTTTTGTAAATTATATGCAACTACAGGGTGTATCAAAAAAAAGGAGACCTTTAGAAATCAAGCTATTGTTAAAATTTGAATGCCTTTTCAATTGCATTTGCACATATGCTGAACCGTAGTGCGTTAAATATTGATGGCATGCATGCATACATATTAGAAAAAGGAGACCTTTAGAAAATGAATTGAAGTTTGTACACAAGATTGTCTGCTCCTGGGAATTTGAAAATAACTTTAA